AGAGGCATTGACAGTTTTTGAGCCAGAAAGACATAGGATGTCACTTGACTTTAGAAAGATTCACCTGGTACCACGTATAGGTAGAAATGGGCAGGAGGGGACAAAGGAGGTGAGAGACTCTCTCTAATATCCAGGTAGAAGGGTGTGCAATATGAACTTGGGTGCTGTATCTAGCATGGGCTGGATACAGGAGATGCTGTGAAGGTAGACTGGATGGGACATGGCTAATTCCCCTTTAGATCTTCATGACCCGGCCCTTATGACCCCATCTCCTCCCACTATTCCCTTGTTCCCTGCAGCCCAGTCACACTGACCAACTGCTCATCCTGGAAAATGCCAACTTTTTCCTCACACCAGGGTCATTGTACTTGCTATTTCCTCCACTTAGGACTATCCACTTTGGAACTTTGTGTGGCTGATTCTTTATCCTCCCTTGGCAAGGTGAACCAAGAAGATCTTGGCTTACATGGTCTCTCACACCTTCATAGAGGCCCTCTCCGACCACTTTATTAAAGTAACTGCCCAGTCACTACTACCTCACTCTGCTTTATTGCCTTCATCACCCTTATCATAGCTGAAGTTAGCTTGTGTATTTGTCTACTGTCTACCTCCATCCACTCACCCATCTAGTAAAATGTGCACTAAAGGTAGGTGGGAACATTATTGGTCTTGTTCACTGCTGTATTCTCTGCATCTCAACAGAACCTGGCATGTAGCAGACTTCCACAACTACATGTTTGTTGAATGGCAGAATGGACGAATGTTTGGATGGATGGATGGATGGATGGATGGATGGATGGATGGATGGATGGATGGATGGACATACAGATGGAAGGATGCATTGGTTGTGAGGGAAGGTGAGAAGAAGGGAAGGGTTATGCCTGATTTGGGGATCTGAGCTGGGCATCTACCAACAGAGACAGATCAGGCAACAGGAAACAGGCTGTGTGTTGGAAGGTGATGAGTTTGACTTGGGCCTCTAGGTGAAACAATGGATGTCAGCAAGGTCTCTTAAAGAGCAAGGTGAGCCAAAGAGGAGAAGGATAAGAACTTGGAGGATTGCTTTAGAATGAAGTGGGGCAGAGGGAGGAGAGAAGTGGCAAGGAAAGAAGGCCAGGAGCTATGGTCAAATAAGTGGGAAGAGATTTCTTTGCTTAGAAGAAGGTGGTCTCAGGAAGGAAGATGTGGCCATGGGGCCACATTCTCAAGGAGGAAGTGGAGTGAAATCCAATCAGTAGTTAGGATGCAAAGAGGTCACTGGGCAGTTTTGAATCTGCTGAGGAGGTAGGTGTTCTGTCCAGATGGTGGGAGCTGAGGCTGTGGGGGTCTGGGAACCAAGAGGGTAGGTAGGTCCTTGATGCCAAGCAGAAAATAATATGCATACTCCTGCCCACCCACTCATCCACCCAGGCCCAAGCCCTTCCTACAGAGCTTGACTGGCAGGAAGGAAGCAGGGCAGAGGAAACCACCATTTATTCATGTCCCCTATCTGCTAGGAACTGTGTAGCCACATTCACGTTGGCTCATTTAACATTGATGACAACCTTGCAAGATATAAATTATCTTCTGTGAGAAAAAGGAATCAGGAAGGTTAAATGTGTCACTAAAGTTCACACAGCCAGGCAATGAAATAGGCAATCTGAACATGGGTCTTCCTACCATTGACTCTCAGCCACTCCAGTGACAGGGCACTGGAGACTAGAGGAAAAAAAAAAATAGACCAAAGCTTGCAGCTAGATTGTGCAATGCCCACGTGGGCTTCACCCACAGCCTGGTTTCTCTGAGGTACTGGGTCAGTGGAAGCACAAGAGGAGAAAGTATAGGCAATGCTGCTGGGAATTTGAGGGTGAAAGGAATGCTCATCCTTTCCTTACACTGGTATCAGTGTAAGGAAAAGGCCAACTCAGGGTGGTTGGAGGTATAAGACTGAGGGGCTAGAAATGGCCATGGGTGATATTCGCAATGTGAGGCAGTAAAAGGCCTCAGCCACGTCTGTTGGCCATGGTGGTGCATTCATGGATTCCACAGTGAGCCAGGCAGAGCTAAGCAAGCATGAAAGCCTCCACTTTATGCAGGGGGAATGACACTAAAGCCCAGAGAAGCTTCCCTGCTTGGCACTACCTCTCCAAGAATGCCAGACATAAGGGAACCACACTGGGCAGCTGGTCCAGAGACACAGAGTCCAGGGCTGAAAGGTTGGGCTAATCCTTCCAAGAGCCTCCCTCATAACTCTTTATCTGTCTCCTAGCAATGATCACATGAGAGGTCATTTTCATACCACCCATTAACAGAATGCTCATTCTCATCTTCTATACCATCAGTCAGCATCCTTCCATGCCCAGGTGGGGCAGTGCCTGTGCCAGAAAGCCCCCTGCCTGCCTGCCTCTAAAACTACTGGCCAGAACTTTACACTGGTATCCCTCAACACCAGTACTGCTTGAGCCATCTCCATCCCAAACACACATGGCTGGTGCCTCCACTGCTTTCCCAAAGGCAAGGGGTTGACAGGCCCTCTGCTCACCTTGCTCCTCTCCAGGACTAGCCCAGAACCCCAGGAAGCAGCAGTGAGGAAAGACCAAAGGTATGTAAGGACAGCTAAACCCAAGAGAAAGGAAGGAGGTGACAGTGAAGTGGGACTTGACAGGCACCCAGACCTGTTCAGGCTGAGTGTGGGTGCAGACAGGGACAGGCCAACCCAAACACTTACTGAGGCCTACTTGTGACAAGGTACCCCTGTTTGCTCTACAAGGAAGCTGAGAGACAGACACAGAGAGAGATGATAGATGATAGATTGATAGATGATAGATAGATGATGATAGATGATAGATGATAGATGATAGATAGATAGATAGATAGATAGATAGATAGATAGATAGATAATAGATAGATAGATAGATAGATAATAGATAGATAGATGATGATGATAGATAGATGATAGATAGATAGATGATAGATAGATAGATGATAGATAGATATAGATAGATAGATAGATATAGATAGATGATAGATGATAGATGATAGATAGATAGATGATAGATAGATATAGATAGATAGATATATATAGATAGATGATAGATGATAGATGATAGATAGATA